ACGGTGTGCTCTCATCTCTACTGTTTCGTGTGCGTCACATGTGTGTCGTTGTCTTCCTTTCGAGTGATTGTTGCTTTATTAAAATGTTGTTTGTCTCGACGTACGCGTTCGTTAGGCGCTCTTTCATGTCGTTTACGCGTCCTTCAAGGCCGAGCTGGCAGATTTTTCACGCCTTTCTGTTGTCTTCTAGCAGAACAATCAGAGTATTTGTGTCAGTAAGAGTCACAAATAAAGCCAATTGTTTGCTACGAAAAAAGCCAGGCAAGCTAAATCCCAAGCGTTACCAAGCGCATGCTGCCAGAGGGAGGAAAAAAAAAAAAAAAAACGAGGCGGCCTGGCCATAAAATATTGCGTGCAGAACGCTTTCTAAAATTGGCTTCGCCGCAGTACACTGTTGTCATGCAAAAAAGCCATCCTAAGGAGCTACAAGCTGTCGCGTTACGCAACTCATTTAGTTCCTTAGTTACACTTACGTGTACGTGTTGTATGATAACGAGCGACACTGTAATCTTATGTAAAAAAACTTCGCTGGCAATCATGCAAAGCTATAACGCTGCTACGGCACTGGGAAATAATAAACATCGCAACACGTTGACATTTTGGCTTAAGTCACATTTATGAGAACGTATAGTAATTTGGAAAAAATCCTGTGGTTCCCGCATGCTTAAATTATCGACAGTCTACTACTTGGGCTAGATATCGTACATTGGCTTGCCGGAGACGCGCGCAAAGGACCGGAGCCGGGAATATTAAGCGGGGTGTTAATGTCTAGAGCGGCCAACTCTGGCAATTGGTGATCGATGTGCAGTCCAATAAATCCTTTAGTATTACCCTAAAAGTTAAAGCACGAAAAAAATTCGGGGGTTGTCAGAACCCCCTCAGATAACTTGTAGTTAATGCCATACGCACAAAGAACACTCAAGTAGGTGGTGCCATATTAATTGAGGCCCAATGTTGAACCACGTGGGATATAAACGCATTGACAATCTCTGCCAATTTGAAAGATAAACAGGGACATAATCGCCAACATGCCATCTTTTTCTAAAATTTCTTGTCGGTAAGCATATCAGTGCAATACAGGAATGCTCCCAATGCATTTCAGTCATGCAAAACTTCCCATGAAACTGCGCATGGCATTGCTACAACTGTTCACATCTTTGCTGCTGCGATATTCTACAAGGAGTGCACGCATAATGTAAGATCAAGCACAAGAAGTTTCGCAAAGCGCATTTGCTCAATGGTTATCGGAAACCATCAGCTGCACCACCCAACAACGTTGCACGCGCCTATCATATCAAACCGCGCAAGTTAGAGGCTTAATCACGCATACTTGGCACGCGAAACGCTGAAAAATGACCTTGGAAGCAAGCTGAAGGCCTGACCAGATCTACGCTTTGCAGTGCTTCAGCGCGTGGTTTCCTGACCCGGCGCCGTGCCCTTTCCCTATGGAGAGAAAGAGCGCGGCTAGGCGCCTTCTCTCTCCAATGGGGAGAGGGCATGGCGCCGCGTCAGGAAGCCAAGCGTTGACGCGCTGCAGCGCGCACGTCTGGTCAGACCTTTAAGATCCGCATTTTTTTCGAAAGTTGTGAGTACTAATTTAGAGCCGCCCTTATTCTCAACCAGGATTCTCGTTGTTGGCATGGCGACTGGCTGCTGCAAAAAGATTCACCAGAAGATTCACATCGACTCCATGCTCGATGCCATCGCAAACAACTGTTCCCAAATCGAGAGGCTCGAGATCGGCTGGGACAGTGAGACGCTCCGATTTAGCGACCGCAGCAGTAAGGCCATTGACACGGTGCGAGTGAAGTGTCTTCGTTTGCGCTGTCTCGTTCTCTGCGACGGGAAGTACTTCGAGCTGGTCAAGTCAAACTTTGACCGAGCCGACAGACACACGCTGGTTCGCTCTACGACAAACTGCAGAGTCACGCTCGTCTACCTCCTGTCCTGCTTTAAGGATCTTATATTTAACTGATTAATAATTAAGTTTGCTTTACACGTTGCAAGCAAGCATCTTGAAACACTAAAATGAAACAATAAATGAGTTCACCCTGATAAATCATGCACTAAATACTCTAGTCACATTCATTTCGCAGCGAGTTTGTTGATGGGTGGCAAAATATATGTTAAACGCTTCACTTTTAAAATTTCTCGCCAAAGTCTCCGACGATGACGTAACAGATTAAAAAAATATTGTGGGGTTCTTTTGCATTTTGATTGCACCGACTTAACGAAATTTCCCGAAACATGGTACATTAAGTCTCTGGCTACCTGCCGTTGCGCGTAATTGAGGCACGAATAAAAAATTTTTGTATATATTTGAAGATGTTTGTGTGAAAGTGTCTGTGAGCTTCATCATTCAATATTTCGTTTTTTGTTGTTTTTTGCAAGGACTTCCAATGGCAAAACCATATTTTTGTTATTTCAGCAGCAACATCTGGAAGAAAATTAATTGATCAGACTTTTCGGAAAACCGGCAATTTTCGGCGAAGGATTTTTTCCCAACTAGTTTTGCACTGTTTGACGACAGAGCTTCCAGTGGCCTGCATGTTGGTGGTTAAGCATACCGGTTGGAATGATCAGAGTGTAAAGAGACTGGTACAATTCTGAAAGTGAAGAAACCAAATACAGTCCCACTATGTAGAAAGGTTAGCCTATGACTTTGAGTGACCTGACATGTTATGTGAAATTCATCATGGACCCTGACGTCACACATGTAATCTAGACAACCTTATCCACGGACAATAGGGAAAGCTAGTTCATACTTTATACTTTACGATGCCATACAACATCACCAGGCAATTCATTCATGCAAACTGGAATTTCTGAAGCCACACAATAACCAGTGAAGAAAGCATCAACTCTCTGCCTATCACTGGCTTGCTGTGCTGATACGGGCATCACATTCTAAGGCTTTTTCTCTATTAACTGTTTGATTTAATTTGTTTGGCCATGAGCAGGACGGTGCTGAGTGACGTGCTAGGCAAGGCAGAGCGGTAAGAGACTTTGTGCACGTGCAAGCGAAAGCACTAGCACTGCGAGAAATGTTTTTCAGGGCGGTGGGGGTCGGGTGCAATCATACGCTTTGTATTCGCTCATGCATGCATTTGTATATGTTTGTTTGCACATACACATGCAAAACTGAAAAAAAAATCAAAGGGGAGAGGAACAAGAACTATCCCTACGAACATCCCTGGCTACATCAGCGCTTACAACATCAATTTGCCAATTCTAGTGCATGTGTACATACTTTTACAATAAAAACCTCTTACAGCAGAGATTATTTCAGCATGAAATGCAATTTTATTATCACAAACGTTACTAAAAGAACACAGTTAAAGTTACAATCACAGGCACAGCTTTGCTGCAAGGCCATTTGAATTCCATGCACAGCTCGTTGTTAAAAAAAGTGAAGTCTGAAGTGCTTGATGGCATCACGCGTCATCAGGTCTGGAATAGTCTTTCAGGAGTTTTTTTGCATTATAAGAAAAGCATCTTGATTAAAATATATTCAGGTCAATATTACAGTCACTTGAAGATTTGTTAGAGCTGTATAGTAACAAATTACCATATTCTAACCCATAAAAAAGTGCCTCATTCTAAGGCTACACATATCCTACAAACAAGGCAGTGATAGTGAAAGAGTACAGTGTGACACAAAACCACAGCACTATAACAGACTGAAACGCACAGTGGCCGAACTGGCATAAATGCATGAAATCACAGTAAAAAAAAGTGCGAACAACAGCTGTTAATTGCGCATGAAGAATAAGCAACAATAGAACAGCATGTTTAAAAGCTGCATTACTCTCACAAAATACCTGTATATAAATTGAATAAGTGCCAATGAAAGTACAACTTTTAGAAGCCTTGAGAAGTTTTTACGTATAATCACATTGTAAAAAAATTTAAAATCTACAAAATGTTGCTTGCATATTAGCAGTGTCCCATGTGTGAAAATAATGCTCACATTCGGCAATAGTTGTTCCCATGAAAGGATTTCAGAATAAAGGTCTTTTACAAATCATAACTTGGTGTGATAAAAAAAATACTACCCTGCATTCAACAAAATTCATGATACATTGTGTGTTATTAACCTGACTGATGATTTGAAAAGGCAGACATAGGTAGGCAATTTGAAAGGGAAATGCAGGCAGGCAATGGAGACAGCATGAAGAATGAACACAAATGTAAGAGATAGGAGCCAAGTTTTGGTTTGTGAGTGCAATTGGGATTTTTAAATACTGCTCATTGCAGTAAAAGCTTGAGTGCACAACCAATGTAGCGTACAATCACACTCCCTGTGAACTGCAACATGATTCCCACAGTCAACGTGACACCACTGTACCACAGAAGCATTGAAAATAAATTGTTAACAACACAGTGTTCCAAGTACATTTGTCATACATTTGGGTTTCCTTTAACCCCCCGAACACTACGTTGGAGCTCACATCAAGTGTCCCAGTAAGCCTCCACTAAAGGCTGTGGGCACATCCTGCAGTGGCTCGTTTTGTTATTGCTTCCACGATATCTATACTTCCTTTCATACATAGAAGTCTGCTTTGTAGAGGCTAGCGAGACTTCTCGCAGTAAAAGTGTTCACACCAGGAAACAGTTCATCCTTGTTTCGCACCCACAATGTGACTTTTCTCAGTTTTGCGGCCCCGCCACGGTGGTCTAGTGATTATAGAGCTCGATTGCCAAGTCGAAGGTCGCGGAATCAAATCTCGGCTGCGGCGGCTGTATTTTCGATGGAGCGAAAATTTTAAGTTCAGTGTGCTTAGATTTAGGAGCACGTTGAAAAATCCCAGGTGGTCTAAACTTCCGGAGCCCTCTACTACAGTGTCTCGAAAATGTAATGATAGCAAATTAAAAACATTTTATTTATAGAAATTGATGCAAATATTTTGGATTACTTTTGATTAGAGAATCATTGACCTTCAATGCTATTTTAATTATATTAATAACTTCTTAGCTTCTGTTTTTGAGACGTTAGACCCCCAGATATTATTGGTATTATCAGTTTTATGCGGAGTAATAAATCCGAAGTTCTTGTGTCTTAAGAATGAACAAATCTGTTAGACTGCAGTGATTATGTTGTTTTATATTTCTTAGCACTTGACTGCGTATGTTTTCGTTTAAAGCGTAGCGACACTTGACGCGCATGCCGTTGCAGTGATCACACGAGCGCTTACAACAACGCAACACGGTTATGAGACCCACAGAGTTGTGCATTCTACAGGCCGAACTTTTTCCGTAGCCCTAAAAGGGTTTACTGCTATGTATGAAACTGTGTACAGACTTTTTTTTTCGATTTTATGCATACACGTCTTTCGGAAAGAAAACTTCTTGGCTTTTCGGACCATCATTGTCTACGGACAATGTCACGCAAAAACTCCACGAACGAGGCGCACAAACATCACCCTTGCAAACGTAAACTTGTACAGTTACTTGAATGTTCAGTTCCTGTTCAACACAGTGTTCATGAAGCGTCAAGTTGGCAGTGGCTTGCGTTGCAGGCTCCAGTGTTCCTGCAGGCAGAGGATTTTGCGTCCATACTTGATGACTGCAATGCACCTTCCATCGGTTCGGTGCTCCAACAGCTAGGCCAACTGGAGGATCGAACCTGAGACACAGGTGACCTCCGGGCGATAGTTTCACTCTGGACACGCACTTCCCTTCACTGACACTTTCCTCGTTCACTCCATCACAGTCCGTAGCTTGAGGAGCAACAATTGCGAGCACATCAACATGACCCGAATCAAGGTCTACAACCTTTACACAATGATTATTTGTATCTGCAACATACATCCTGCTTCCAAAGATGCACAGGCCTCCTGGTTCACTGAGACCTGCTGACTGTGAATGCAAGCCAGATGAGTCTTCAACAGTTGCACCTCCTACTAAGGTATTGCACAGGCGCTTTTCTACGTACACTTCTTTAACCTTGTGGTTGTAACTATCAGCCACATAAAGTCTTCCCTTGAGAGTACTCCAAGCAACACCAAGGGGGTGCTGAAGCTTTGCATTTAGGGCCACACCATCTGTATCCCCAAAGCAGAACAGGTCCTGAGGAAGCAATAGATAAATTCGCTAGATGAGGCAAGTTGTTGAGCTAACATTATTAAATCAGGTACATCAGCGAGACACACCAATGCAAGGCCTTTTTCTTCCTAGTGCAGGCACGCTATTTATTTTATCAGAAAGAAACAGTGCCTACATTTGTAAGAGTGTTCACCTTTGCAATTCAGTAAGGCATTTTATATTTGGACGTAAAATGTAACCTAGAGCTTTGTCTAAATAAGTTCTTATTGAAATTTTTCTGCTCTTTACATATTCATAATATTGTAAGCTCACTGTTACAAGTAAAAACTGGCATTATATTTGTGTTTTGGATCCAGTGAAAAATTCTGTGCCATTCCAGTTAACTAAAATTAAGGCCTGAATTCAATCAGAAGCCGAGTATACAATGGGCACCACAACTTACCGTAGGATCCAGGCCTCCACCAACGATATTTTTCACTGTGCCATCCTTCAGTGACAGTGATCTTATGGATGAACTCTCACTGTCAGCAATGTGAAGAGAGCTTGGTGGCTGGAAACAAAGTCCTGATGGCTGGGCGAATGTTGCTCTGAGAGGGTAGCTGTTATTTCGGTTACCTTCCGCACCGCTTCCAGCGATGCATGCACATGTACCTTTACTGTAAGTCCTAGAAAGCAAAAGTATAAACAAAAATTCAAAGGGATGACTCAATGCAGTTTTACGGAAATGAAACAAGAAGCCGACTCACTGTTTTCCGAAAAGCACTTCATCTCCAAAGAAGAAAGCCCAGATCTGGTGTGAGCCAGCCATTGCGATGAACAATACGTTGTCGACTAAACAGACATCCCAGGGGGAGTTGAGTTCCTGCTGCTGTCCGAGGCGGCCTCCCTCTGTGTCCTGGCCCTGCTTACCAGTCCCAGCCAATGTGCTCACTGTGCCGTTCTCAAGGTCGATCTCACGAACGGCGTGGTTCCCAGTGTCGGCAACGAGAATGAAGTGAGGATCCCGCCAGTGAACGCCGTTTGGTTCACTGAACAGGGTGCCATTGAGGGGACCGTCTCGATAACCAGGCTCGTATCCTCCAACCGCCTGAAGCACCGTACCACTGTGGCTTGTGATGACAATGCGATGATGGCCAGTGTCTGCAATTATGAGTCTTGTCTCAGTGGCACACACTTTGGCCGGAAAGCATAATGGCCCCGTGGGAAGGGCACCTGGGGCCAATGGCAAAGAAGTCACAGGGGATGGGTGAAAATGTTCCATTGCCATCCTGCAAAATGGTAACAGAAGCTGAGTCGCCCCTTCGCCCACAAGAAACAGCAGCGCCTGTCCTGAAGGTCCTAGGACAACTAACGTGGGCCAACAGTTGATCCTCAGGCGCTTCCAGAGAGAGCTATGGGCGTCATTTACGACTGGATGTGTGATGCCAAGCCTCATTAGGGCTTTGCTGACGTTGCCCAACTGCTTCTCGTGGTCAAACTTTGCCGAATGGACCCCGACCACCAGAAGTCCAGACTGAACGGGGAACTCTTGCTCGAGGAGTTTAACGGTGGGCAGTACATGCTGACAGTTGATGCAACAGAAGGTGAAGAAGTCCAGCACCACGACTCGGCCGCGCAGGTCGTAGCTCACCAGAGGTCGCGAAGTGTTGATCCATTCCAAGTCTGCAACGGTGCCACAATCGGCTGCGTATTACTGTCATGTCGTGCTTTCTGCCAATGGTATAGCTGTGTTTTACCTAAAGTGCTTGTTATCGCCATTAAAAGTTCGTGCATCATAACGTGCACATACCTTTACCGATTGAGACGGCTTGCCTCTGCGAACTACCGTCCCAATAATCGTTTTTTTTTTTTTTTTGCGCTATGTAACCGGTGTCTTTATATAACAATGTGCGCATCACGTGTGCACGTTTTGTATAGAGACAACGTAATGCAAATCATAAAGTAGAAATGGTTTCACCCACACGGCCAAAAAGTAGGCAATATTTCAGCAACAACTCTCGGCAACAATTCGAGGTAGCATATGTCATGTGTAAATCTTACTTGCTCTCGCGAACTTGTTTTTTTTTTTTTTTTCATTGCGTCATCGGCCTACCCGCCACGATGATCTCGTGGTTACGGAGCTTAACAGCTGATCATCGCGGGTTAAATTCCAGCAGAGTCAGCCGGAATCCACAGACAGATGATGCTAGCGGCCCGCGTGTTTTAGACGTAAATGCACGTAAGGAACTTCATGTTTCTTTCTTTTTTTTTAATTTTACAGAGCCCTTTACTGCCTATCAGACGCCCCCAGGCTATTTAGACGAGCGACGCAGCCTGCATATGACATATAGAAGCACTTACCCGTCCCGAGGTCGGTGACAGTGAAAGGATCGTCGGAAGACGACACTTCGGCAATGTAGCTCGCCACGACTGCATTCCGATCACACCCTCCTGCCGCATAGAATTTGTTTTCAAACTCTTCCTGACTGTTTCGAAGCTTTAGCAACGAAGTTGGGTAACCGTCACACGGTTCCATGGTTCGAACGTGCGGGACACACCCCGCGCGCAGCAAAACGTGCACCAGCAAATAAGTTTACGATGTTTCGCTAGAGCACGGACACCTACTTTCACACATGCCAACTTTACACTGTACTTGAGTGGTCTACATTTTGGTCTACATTGCAGCCATGACGTATAGTTGGCTATTGAGTGTGAAACGTAAGGTACAAATAAGCGTAGCTGATGAGATATGCACTTCAGCTAAAAGAAAAACTGTGAGTAGTGAGTTTAGACAAATTTAGTTGTCCGGGCCCTACACATGCACATGTGAAAACGAACGCGCCCCCTTGTTGCAGAGCTGGCCTTCACATCCCTTTGTAATTTATAACAAGGTCCCAGTAACATAATAAAACAACCGTAAATAGTAATTACGGGTTTAATGAACAGACGGACTACTATTTTGCGTTCATTTCTTATGACGTCCTTCGAGATTTGAGGCACATTAGTGTTAGGAATCTCGATAACTATGTAAATACCGCCTGCGCTGCGCATCGTAAAATAGATGCACAGTGTCAAAACCCACGTCTCTGCAATAGATACGCCTGTCCCTGGTCTGTATTAAAGATATTTTTAAATGCTATTTGGGCTGCATGCGGCGTTACGCCTGAAATAAGCAGTCTAAACGCGGGAATATTGAATTTGTGAATACAGCGTTTTTCTGAAATTTCAAAAAAAGGAAGCACATAAATTACATCCAAAGATGTGCTAAATGCTCCATTATATGCTAAAGATGCCCTTCGTGCAATGGGATACAATATATAGGTGTGGGTTGTATGAGGAGGGAGTCAAGAGCATAAATATGTGCGCAGGGTTTCCTTCAGGGAGGGCGAAAGTAGGTCGCAACGCCCCCCCCCCCCCCCCCCTATACTCTCCTAGGTGACTACAGTAAGCGGCCACTACCCCCCCCCCCTCTCCCCAATCACGTGTGCACGCCTATGGCAGGCTGGTATGCGTTACAGCAAGATTGCCTGTTTTTGATCATGGTGTAAATGCATTTTAACGCCAATTCCTCACATGATTGGTGCTCTAGGATAGGTTTTGTATTGATCTTTCACTTTCAAGTACGAGCTATCAGAGGTTTAAATCCAGTAAGGACGTTTTTTTTTTAAGAAATGCGCACAAGATATATTTTTTTTTACTCGAAACTTCCTGTAAAAGTTTGCATGGGGGAGGTCATGGCACCCTAACAAATAAATACTGAGGCGACGCATAAACGTTAGTGTGTTGAAGTATGTGTGAATAGACATTAGTATATAAACATAAGCTGATATAAGGCTGATAGCAATGATGAAGAAGAGTAGATAGGATCATAGGTAGGCAATAAAGGGTGCAGCTCAGTCGGAACCACTCAAGAGATATATCTTGTCCTTAGGGCTCGCTCGTACTCAGATATTTTCCCTAACGGGACTCGCACTCACTAAACCTTTTCTTCAATTAGACACGCTCACCAAAACACTACTCACAGAGACTCAGACTCGCAGCCTGATCCGAGTTTCAGTCAGTCCCTGCGAGTCGATTCACGAGTGAACTTGCCGACCTTTTTGATCACTTGTTTGGCAGTAAGCAGGACAGTAGTAAGAAAGCCACATTTTTTGTGGAATAGTACTTGTCTGAAATCACGGCAGTAGTGTCAAAGCTGAACTACGAAAGAAAGGCATCTCTCACATAAACAACGCATGTGCAATTAGTGTCGGCAGCTCTTGGCCCACATTGGTAGAGATTGGCACAAAGAGGAATAAATTACGACACTTTATTTACTAAAAGCTTATCACAGCCAAGGGACTACATGTGGCATCCCTATCAAGCGTCCATGCTAGATATAGGAAAATAATGCTGTTCACAAGTTCGTACAAAACAACTATAAAGCGCCCTTGAATACAAAAACCAAAATGTAAGAAAAAGCACGCACAATATGAACACTACATTGCGAGCATGCCGGTAAATGACTTCGGTGTGCCAGCTTTTCCTGCTTGTGCATATGCGGCACTTGACTGCAAGTTAGGACCTTGAAAGAAATCAGGAGTCGCTCCATATGTGAGTCAGGAGTCGCTCCATAGTTAGGTCATTGAAAGAAATCAGGAGTCGCTCCATATGTGATAGGTTATCCTATTTTCTTCCTTCATCATGGCACACGGGAAAAGATGGCAGCAAACAGCTAACTCGCACTCACAAGGCAAAAACACACATGATGTCCTTTGGCACACAGAGTTGACTCAAGGGCGCATAGCTAGTGCACAACAGTTGAACGCAAGCTGAAGGTACACTCAACTGGCTATTCAAACTTATTGTTCAAAACTGACCCCACAAATTGTGACCTGCAAAGCAACAAGACGTCACGTTTGTGGACCGAGAGTGAGATATACAAATGGTTGCTAAAATGATGCGCCCTAAACACCAAGGTTGTAAATCAAGATAGTGGGTGCAAGCTCTGGTATACTTATGCGAGCTAAATGAAGCCCATTTCACAGCAAACATAGCTAAAACACTGCATCTAGTGAAAAAAAAAACTGAAAAAGTGTATCTTCGCATTTCCATGGCATGTTTGACTAAAATAAACACAGCGATAAAGTAAATCTGTGTACACTGGTCAAGTATTATTTCAAAACTTGCATGTAATTGGTAAAAAGAGGTCAAGGATTAGTAGTTTACATACAAGCTGCACAACAAGACTTTGCTGGATAATCTGCAATTTAATGGCACTTTCGCTTGTTAGGGCCTGCTTTTGAATATTATACATTTCAAAAGCTGTGAAGTTAGGTCACAGTGTTTTTGTAAGTGCACCATATTCATCTGCTAGTGATTCTCTAGCTTCAAACAAATAATTTCACCATTTATGAAATCCAGGAGAGCTCACTTTGGAATATTTGCAGCATCCAATCCCTAAATTCTTTCTCAATTTACGAAGCTTTTGCACGCAGCGACTAGGACTCGTCTGACAATCAAGATGTGGTGCCGATTTTAGTTTAAAGTTATGATTATTTTCATAGCCTTGCAACATTGCATGCTGCCTCTACTTAAATACACAAATCCTGAATCAACAGGACGCTGTTACCTTCTTTTTACACGAAAAATGCAGAAAGCTGCTGCCTACTAAGAAACTGTTAGCTTTAAAAAAAGCCTGCAAAAGCATCACAGACTTTATAACATCTAAAGATAAAGTGATTCCATAAAGTGATTACCATGCAAAAGATACCTAACAAAACAACAACACACATCTCAATCATTCAAAAATTTGGCAGTGGCGTACAGTGTCTAACGTGAAAGTTCGTGTGACAGCTGTAATGATCTCTCAGCCACGAAAAAAAAAATATTTTAAAAATTCACAGGAAAAGCATCTACGAAAGCATCACCAGAGTGTACATAAATGCAAAATCCTAACATAAAATTACACTGTGTGGTATGGCACTGGTTATACTGGAAGACCTCGGACATCAAGTTTGCACTTCAATAGGGATCTCGCACGCAAATGCACGAGACAAGATCCTGAGGCTTCATGTAAAAATGCAAGTCTGACAATCATTCTGGCAGGCAGCTATGAAGGCTGCAAACATTAGAAACAAGTCTTGAATGCAGAGTAAAGTGGACACTGGAACAAATAACACTGAAACAAAAGGGCGCTTAACAGCGGCATAGCCATTACTGCCAGCTGACTATAAATACCGCAGTCTTCTGTTAAGTAGTGATCAAAAATAAAAAACACTAATACAATGTGACTCCACTATACGCTAGGTTCATTGCAAGTAGCAACTTTTTTTTATTGGCTACACTAAACAGTGTAAACATTTTAAACACTCTAGCACAACTAGCTACAAACTGTGCTCACAGAGAAATTCAAGAAATTTTCTCAACATGGGAAATCAAGTAATGCACAGCAAGACGTTCTGAAACGTGAAAGCGGCTCGGAATCAAAGAACATTACTAAATAGCACACAACTTGCAATGACTACGCCGCTGTGACCCAACTGATAATTCGCATGTGCTAATTCTTTTTTTCAGTTGATAATAGTAGCAATGGTCAGGTAGCAAAAAGTAGCCGTGTATTCACACGGTATGGCTTTCTGTGAGGAACAGTTTAACCATATCAAAGAATATGGACAGCTGACCAAGTTAATGGAAAGCGAACTTCAAAAAAGGATAAACTGGATTAGTTCCACCAACCGAAGGTTTCTAAATTGTGACCGTATTGTAAAGTGCATGAACTCAAATCCAAAACAGATCATTCAACTCCCAATAGAAGTTTGACAAATATGGGCCAGTTTGAAACACACAACTTCAAATTTGGCCGTTGATCGAGATCTCCAAAGTTAACACATACAGTTGAATGTAAGCAGCCAAAAATGAAGACTAAGAAAATATAGCACCAACGTGATGGGAAGCTTACGCTACTCACAAGTTGAAAATTGTCTTGTACCACACGTACGATGGTGAGCAATGGTTGTGCACAAGCCTGGTGTCGCGTTTAAACACCAGGTGGCAAGTTCCCTGTCAAACGTACGCATTGCTGACTGTTGCATGCATTAAAGATGGGGCAGCTATCAGAAAAAGGCACAGTTATTTCATGCTGCTTTACCTACTGTTGAACTACTAGGCTCTTTCATTTTCAGGAAGAGATCTGTCTGGCTGGGAAAAAATTATTACAAATAAAATAAACTCTTTAGCCACCTTTAGCCCAAAGTTGCTAATGAATTAAAAAAGCAAGAACCGACCCGCTGTTCGGGACGGATTGGGGCGTTACGGTGCCTTCTTGAGGGGCGACTGTTTTGCTGACTCAGAAGTTAGCAAGTTTTCTTAGCTCGTCGCGTCTTGGGTGAGTTGTTGATGTTGATGGTGGCGAGCACGCTGTATTTAACAAAGAATTGAGACTTCCGTTTTGCAACTACGCATTCTCTTGGTGGCAAACAGTTGGGAAGTCGCGTTCTTGCTTGTTTCTTAGTTTTTCTGAACAGGCAAGTGGAGTCTGGTATGCTGTTATTATCGAGTTGGCCAGACAAAACATTTGGAATGATGATGCCAGAAAAATGAATAAACAAAATAAAATTTGGCCATAACTATTTCAAACAGACTTTAATTTTTAATAAAAGAAAAGTGGAACCGACTATAGAAAAGAGCTGTCAAGTTTAGGGAATAAAATCGGTAAAGTACTGGTTGGCTATCAGTGGTGAACTTTTTGTTTTATATTTCTACATGGTGCCATAGTGAGTAGACCACATAATGAAATGTAGCAGCAGCAAAGTTGAAGAATATGAACGACAGTTTGTCAGCAAACTGCAGAACTGTATATCATCTTCATATTTACTTTCCATTAACTTTTGCCTTATTGAGAAAAAAAAAAACTAGAAGTGAGACACTCACGACGTAGTACAAAGCATACATTTGTATATGATAAAACACGAGAGGCAAAGCTAGAGCAGAAAGAACAAGCCTACATATGAAAGATGTGCTCTTACTTTCAATAGCACACAAGAGTGGATGCTCGTGCTTGTCCATCACCTACCTATCACTCACCTTCAAAACGGAGATTACTTATGAAGTAACGCACACATATAGGTACTTGAAGACACATACACACTGTCATGGACAGATAGAACACGAACGAGTTAGGGCTAACTGGAACGCATTCTCTCATTCCCGCTTTTGCCACTTTGATGTCGGCACGATTTCAGCTTGAGCAATTAACCATTGGCCTACACCACACTCGGAAACCAGGTATGCAGCGGCACGAGACCGCGTACTTTCGAGTTACAAGTTGCGAGAGCTGTCCTTCTTCATACTTCCCCGCAAGTGTTTTACTTGTCCTTGACAGTGCAGATTATGCAAACGAGAATGATCCAAGCGGGTCAGTTGCATTATAGCCGCAGTCTCATAGCATGCCGACAAATGAAAGCACCAGCAACCGCTGAAGTGTCCCCTTGTAAACACTGCTCCTCGCACATCAAAATGTGAAAGCATGAATTGATGCCGTTTTTCCTCTTGAAAGTTTTACTGCAAATATATCATGAACCTTTTTTTTTAAACTCCTACAAACTTCCTCACCTTTTCATGTTTCTTACTAATATCATGAATTGGCTAAAACCAACCTATAGATTATATTTTAAAGTATGCTCATCTAAGTTTAAATAGACATAGCAGAAATTTGTTTTAACGGAGAGACAGCTAAAGTGGCACCGAGGCACCAAATACCAAAGCAGGGCTTTTGAGAAGTTCGAATCTATATGCCAATGTTTCAATAAATTGAAGCTTAAAATATATGTTAGAGAAATATTTCAAAAAGGTACAAATGTGTCATAAGAGTTTCTGAAAATGATAGGCACTCCAAGTGAGGTGATCTATTGTTTCTCCATTAGCATCACTTCACTGACACATCTCTCAGAACATAATTAAATCTGCTACATACGTATACTTTTTTACAAATCCATTGAAGGGTGGCATTCTCCTCAAAAAAATATTACAAATTCAGCTTTACTTCCTAAAATGGCAACATGAGGTTCTAACCATACCAGAAAAAGTTGCTTTCAAATATGTTTATAGTTTCTAACCACAGATTTGAATAATTTTCACCAGGACCATGCTACTGCTGTGACGTACACAGTGGCAGAATAAAGAAGTAATCATAATAATGAACACCTTGTTATGTCACCTTTACAAGGAATATCTAACACAGCAATGTAACGAAACAATGAGCATTTTTTCCCATGATGGTGCTTGTTGCTCAATCAATCAGCATGGACAGTCATAGTGTAAAATGACATGTGCCCATTTTTTTTCTTATCTCATCCCCTGCAGCAAGATAAAAATGAAAATTGATGTTCTGAAAACTGACTGATAAGTACAACCATAATAAAGCAGTATGGACAAGCATTAATTCTCTAAGTAAGGCATTAGAAATGTTGTAGCCAATCCTACTTTCTGTACAAGGTACAGATGCTGTAAAAGATTGTACTCGGCACCGGCTAGCAGCACAAAATTTGCATTCTTACCCGATGACACATCCTTTGTGCAAGCGGTAGAGATGTACCAATCGTGCCTCGTTTCTTGCATAAGACAGGTGGTATAGAAGACACTACAATCACTTGTTTAGTATGGAGACTACTACACCCAATGCCAACAACACTTCACAACATTGACATGTCCAGTTCAGCAACTCTTTCTTTAGCCTGCTTGTCAGGCGGCTCGTGCTTTTACTTTCTGCCTCTTTGGCACGGATACACGCGCGTTTAATCTGCACGACTAGCGAATACCGACAGGGAGGAAAAAGAAGTGCTCTAAGGAGGCACGAAGCAGAGAAGTGTTACACAGCATAACACCGCAAACTTTTGCGTCGCCATGGAATTCGGATAAGGTGTGATACAAAGGAGTTGTCACCCTCATCTGCATCTTCGTTCTGGGACCCAGCCCCGCTTTTACTTTTGCGGGCAACTTAAGCAGTTTCGTGCGAGGTCGACAAAGGCAAGCCGGGAACTGCACGAAATTCGTCATGCCGGTTGCCATCCGTCGAGGGAGATGTACCGCCCCGTGGTCCAGACCTGTCATAAGGCTGGGAGGCGCAATGCTTCGGCTCTCGTCTCCACGTCCCGAGGAGAAAACGTGGCGCCGCCAGCCTTTCCGAGACGAGACTAGTGCTGCAGCGGGTTGGTGCAGTTGACTCCGCGCATGAGCCGCAGGGCCTTGCGGAAGGCCGGGGTACGCCGCCACGGCATGACAAGCAAGGGTGTCAGGCTGCCGTTCTCGGCACGCAGCCCCATGAGCAACAGCTGTCCCTTGAGGGGGCCGCAGCAACGTTCGAAATCTGGTGCCTTGAGGACGGGACGTCGAAGCTGTCGTCGCAGCAGGCCCTCGCGCAGCTTCAGAAGCTTTGAGCGCTTGCACTGCAGCTGAGATCCCTGAAGGCGCTTCACCCGGGCACGCACCACTGTTGCCACAAATGAAAGGAAAAAAAAGGAAAGACGATTCGCGGGTCAAGTAAGTAAATGCATGGGTACAGCGTACAGCACGAGGCACCAAAGGTTTGCATCTGCGTCCTTACTTTTGTTGTTGGACGTGCATGTACCATAATCTCTCAGTATGACCGCACTTGAGCTGGCAACTGCATACTGGTGAGCAAGATTGCAACACTGATCGGAGAGGAAAATCAGAAGACATATAGTCAGGTACTACACAATGCCTTGTAAAGAAGAGGAAGTACTCTGGTGCAGAGGCAACAGCATCGAACGTGCAGCAGGCGCTGAAGCTCGTGAACTGAGGCCAGTGCATTGCCTGACTAGCAACAACCTCTATGCTCAATAAATCTCTTTTATAGCATATTCACTGACAGTGCAAACAAAAAAATGACGCTGTAAGAACAATGACGCAACACCAGCACTAAACTCGTGGCTGTTTGCAAATGAAAATGCACCATCTTGTGCAGTTAGCTACTGTTCAACACAGTGATGCACAGCTCATTTTTGGCACTATGTGCACACCTGTTTTCTTTTTTTTTTTCTTTCAGGTCTTGTAATAAAGCAGTTTGCATACCTGAACTTTAAATATACAACAACGAATGGGCGGACAAGTGGGGCCGTACCCAGGAATATTTTTTCCTGGAGAAGGAGGGTGTGGAACTGCTAACTTCGGCAACTGAAGGTCACTGTGAAAACGTTTAAATATTTTGGTATGACCCGAAATGTTAAGAGTGCAAAAAAATTTCGCACTTCTTTCCCTCCACCCTAATTATAGCCCCGCTGACAAAAAAAGTAAATAGAGCTTCTTGAAAATTATTATCGCCCTCAAGAGGTGCTACTCTGTGTTTATATGCGCGACATGGTATATAATAAAAGATTTCCTGTTTGGCTACCGGCTGCTGCTTACTTCTTGTCGGCCAGCCCTTCAGCGCCGTGCCCTGTGTTCTCCGTGTGGCGCGTCCGCCGCACGATACTACAATACTTCAGACCGATGTAGCTATGTTGATAAGTTATTGTGGAAAGCGACTTATTTATTAGCATTGTGTGTCTCGTCGGCCACTGAAAGACAGTGTAAGCTCTTCCAAAGGCAAAAGCGTGTGAGGCTTTTAACAAAGGGTCGGTATCAATGGCCTGCAAGTTTAGTGCACACAAAATTTTCATGCACTTATGTTGCTTGTATAGACTATTTTACAGACGGTTTTGAGTGCGTCCCTATTGGGTGGTTAACCTTTGTGCTTTGTATCTCTAATAATAATTAACTGAACAGTGGTTTGCTACATGCATATACATGGAAGTGGTTGGGCTGGCACATATAGAATGGTTCATGGCCTTATTAATTCAAGTCGCGATATACCAAAGCAAAAAAACATAAGCTTAACAGTCTAAGGTGTCTTACGGAAAATAGTCTGGAGAGAATGTTGTTTCTAAACTTTCAACATTTTATAACAAGAGCCTGTTCATCAAAGCAACCTTTATGTCGAACCTGAAATACTAGCCAAACTTGTACCATCTTAACCCGTGCTTTTCAAATTACCACGAGCTTGTGCACTGGTATTCCTGTTGTAATTCATTAATTATTACCAATTTGTCGCAGCTGATCGATTAGCTTGAAAACAATTGTTTAAATTTGACAATGGAGTATATGAAATTGCCCCACCAAAAGTGGCATGATATTCACTTTACAAGATTTGCAGATTCAGTCCAATATATGTTACTATACTGAAAGTGAGAAAAAACTAGTGCCCCATTATCTTTTCTTGAAAGCCCAACATAACTATACTGAACATCAGAAGTCCCTTTAAAACGTTTGTTGCCCAGCACATCATATTCATTTAAGCATCAGCAACGTTTTTTGTAAAAGCAGACAGTTAGGAGTGGGCGAATATTGGAAAATTCTGAATAACGAATAAAATAGTGTCCTGTTCGACTCTGTACTCACATTGAGTAGTGTGTATTCAAAATACTGAATATCTTTGAATAGTTTTCAAATAATTAGAAACAACAAAAAATGCCCTAAGGAATGAGGCGTGGGAATAGCGAGAAGCAACGCTTCTTGTTTTAATCACCAAATCAACCGGATGCATGCAGCCCACATACTTACAAGATTATAGATGCTATATTAATCAAAGGATGAAGCTGTTTTGCTTAAAACTGCAGTGTCATCGAGGCAACATTGTCAGCAATCAATTGTTTCCACTATGATATTCATCGCGATACTAGCTCATGAAAATGATTTAATACCTAGGCATAAGTTCTCTTCGAAAACTGTTGACAAGACAAATTGCCATTTTGCATATTGTAATCACTGCTATATTTTACCTTGCCGTTACAAAATATTTTGAAGGCTTCGATTGCTTCTCAGTTTACATAATTGTTTTTTTGGTTAAAAGTAATCATAACATTTTTTTGCTAAGGTTTCTGAATATTTGTTTCACATAAGATATGAAACTCTCGTGCCGTTTTGAGAATTGTCACCTTACCAGTCAAGACCTGCTTTGACGATTGTTTCCTTACTGTTTGAAAACTTCAAATAGTATTCAATTCGTATTCTATTCCATGTTATCGCTATTTGATTCTAAAATTCACTATTCACACAAACCCTTGCAGACATTTAGGACCATTCAGATAGCAGAAACAATACCCATATCTGTCAAACTGCAAAACAACTCTGACAGATGCATGCCTGCAATCAATCTTTCAGTAGAAAACTGACAATGGCAGCTGCCTCACTATTAACTGCCACTAGTGTCACATTATGTTGACAAGTTTAAAACAATGATATGTGCACCCGTTGGTCATATCCTAGCAAGAGTTCAAATCTGAGCTGTTGTCTAGTTGCAGAATCGTCGCGCTCCGACGGCATGAAAAAAAAAAGGGGGGGGGGGGGGAAGCTAAACTGACAGGACATTACGAAACTCCTTTGGCGGCTTCGTCATATCGTGACGTCATCGCAGGGCACGAACGCGCTCCACTGGTTTGCACGTGGACGATCTGCGGGAGGCGCTCGCAAGCGGACAAATCGTGAGTGCGTGCGTATGTAATTAGCGTGCGCGCAGATAAGAGCTAGATGTAAGGAGAAAGACCCACCGAAGTCGGCGCGGCAGTAGTTGTCCACGAGCGACTCCGTCGTGTTGGCCTGTTGGCAAGCCCTGCAGGCAACTGACGCTGAGGCCTCGCTGGCTGCGGCGGTGCTCTGCACACCGATACACATGTCATTGTCCAGGGGAAACTTGTCGCAGCGGACCATGTCCGGCCACGGGTAGCCGTAGTGTGCCATGGTGGCCTCGCATCCCCTGCGCACGGCCTCGCACAGGCTTCGGCAGGGAAAGATCGGCCGCTCCAGACAGACCGGCGAGAAGAGCGAGCAGAGGAAGAGCTGGGTGTCCGGGTGGCATCGCCGGTTCACCAGCTGCACCCACGAGCGCGCCTGCTGTTGAACCTCCGCCATGCTGTCGTGTTCGAGCAGGTTGGGTAGTCGCATGCGCGTGTAGCCGATGCCGCGACACAGCGTCAGGTTGGCCGGTATCTCGAGGCAGGTGGGCTGCGCCAGCCGGCTGGCCCAGTCGAACCCGTCCAAGCCGGCTGCCGACGCTACGGCGAGCAGCGCCGGCAACAGGAGCGGGACGAACCCCATGCCCCCTCCACGGATGATGATGCCGCGCCCAGCTGCTGCTGATGCCGCCGCGGCACCGGCGCGCCGCCAGCGGTTCTCCTGTTCCGTCGCTGGAGAAACGCGAGCGAGAGCCGTTGTCGCGCGGCGGGACGCTGCCGATGCCGAATCTGTCGCGCACGCGCGGCAACCTTGGGGAGAAACCCCCCACCGGTAACCGCCACCGGTCCCAAACAACCGCACCCCTCTTCCCGTCCTCGCTGGCGCGTCGTCTGCTCGTACCCGGGGTTCGTCGCTTGCTTGCCGCAGCTCGGGGGTGGCAGCAGCCAGAGTCTGTCAACTCACTCGCGCGTCGTGTCGAGACGGCGGAGCGAGCCACCCTTCGTCGCGCTTCGGGCCGACGCGCCACACCGTCTCTCTCGGCCGTGCGATGACTCCGCGCGCCTTTCGAAAATAAACGAAAATAAAGCGAGTCTGTGCGCCGCACCAACAAGCAGAAAGAAGCGACCAACGCGAGCGTGTCCGCTGAGAGACGAGACGCTTTTATCGCCACCCCCACCCACCTTCCCCGCCCCTCCGCTCGCGTCGCACGTTCGCTGGCTGCTCTAGCACGCAGCGCAGCCCGCGAGATAGGAGGGCGGCTACGCACGCACAGATCGAACAACCGCGGAGGAGGGATGCCGGACGCTGCGGGAATGCAGACGGACCCTCCACCCCGAGTTGGAAAAGCGCACAAACAGAAAAAAAAAGGGATATTAATTGGCAATGAGAGAGGGGGAGCAGCTGCACGTGCGCAGCGTTTTCGACGTCCCACCCTTTCTTCAAACACGACTCGCGTGGCTCATATTCTTTCGCTTTACCCACTGAACGGGCCTTCTATGTCGGACGCGGATGGCAGTGTCAACTTCCCTTCCTTTCACTTTCACGAAAATATTTGTGTATCTCTAAACCGTTGTCGGGGCAGTCGGGTAAGATGAACCGATACCGTAGCGCGCGCACCAAAACGTTAGCCGTAATCATTGTCAGCCCAGGAATGCAGTGTTTGTCCAAAGGATGACAGGCTCTCTGGTCGCGCATCCCGGGTTCTTTGTTATCTGCAGTGGTAGCCATATCCGCACCTGGCCTCGCTTTAACAAGCTCTACCCTTTCCCCGAGCCGTCGGGGGAGCCCTTTCACGGAGGTAATGATACGCAGGGCCATCTTGTCGACTGCGACGTGCACCTCCTGCGGGGCGGGGTATGCGCTGTTAGTCTGGAACACGGTAGCCTAGAATTACAGCGCAGTAGAACGTACTAAAATGGTCTAGAACACGCTTGTTCTCCAGCCCATCTGTGCAAGGACTTCGTTCTTCAAGTCTGTGGAATAGCGTATGTATTAGTGCGCTTATATCCAGTGTGCGCAGTCTGAATATACCCACTTGCCAATCTTTAGAGTTCTTGAATATTATTCCATTGTGCCATGACGAGATTCAGCATTCAGGTCTGTCCGTAAAAGTAACGAGACTGAGCCTGTTTTAAAGGGAAAAAAAACTTGCAAGTTCCCTCATGCTTTCGTCTAAGATGACTCCAAGTCAAAGGTCTTTTCCTTTTTATTCTCAGTCACACCTTGTGACCCCCCTCCCCCCCCCCCCAAAAAAAAAATACCTGGCTACGGGCTCGGATGTTGCGACAAGGCTAGAAACTTTTGTAACCCGGTGGCGTCATTACACGGTGATGATAATTGCATCGCTCGTGCAGACGCCGCCGACGGTTACTTTGCGCGTTTGGTGAGTCAACGGCTTTCGCCTTAATATAATTTATTGATTTTGTCTGTACACATTCCTTAAGTTATTCAATGTAGTTCTTTTTGTGCACCGATTGCAATTGAGATTCCCACGATGAAAAGGCTCTCTGAAAGTCGGCTGCCGCGACCTCTTTCAGAGACTGTAACGGTCACTGGCGTTGGAAGGGGGGGGGGGGGGTTACATGCACCCCCCCCCTCGACCCGGGAAAATTTTATGATTGTGCGTGCGTATATAATATACACGAACGCATGCAAACGAATGCACGATTACTCACAAAATTATGCTTGTACCACCTCCAGGCTCAAGCACATTTCTAGTTACGCTACCTGACAGCCCTTTGCCTGGCGGGAACACCTTCGAAACTGTGACCGTTCAGGCATTCCGGCATGGTCTAGTGGCTAGGATACCTGGCTCTCACCCAGGAGGCCCGGGTTCGATTCCTGGTGTCGGAAGTCCTTTTGCCCCGCCGCGGTGGTCTAGTGGCTAAGGTACTCGGCTGCTGACCCGCAGGTCGCGGGTTCAAATCCCGGCTGCGGCGGCTGCATTTCCGATGGAGGCGGAAATGTCGAGGCCCGTGTGCTCAGATTTGGGTACACGTTAAAGAACACCAGGTGGTCGAAATTTCCGGAGCCCTCCACTACGGCGTCTCTCATAATCATATGGTGGTTTTGGGACGTTAAACCCCACAAATCAATCAACCATTCAGGCATGGGCATTGGCAGTTGGCTGCAAAAAGGACACTTACCCGCCTCAAGCTCACCAGCCGTTGCCCCTATCCAAGCCACATCAGTTATCCCCATTCTACCACCGTCATGCAACATTGGTAAGCACCCAAAAGACAAAATTCTGCCGAAGGTCATGGTGTGCTGATGTATATCTGACGTTAATTCTTCCTTAAAGCTTGAAAACAAGGAAACCATGAAAAGGGGGAAAAAAATAAGGCTCCGTGAAGCAAAGAAAGAGATCGAGCGTGCCAGGACTCGATCCTGGAATCTTCTGATCCGTAGTCAGACGCGTTGTCCGTTTCCCAATGCTTTCTTAAAGCTTAAAAACAAGGAAACCATGAAAAGAAAGAGAAAAAAATGAAGGCTTCACGAAGCAAAAAAAAAAAACAGAGATCGAGCCTGCCAGGATTCGAACCTGGAATCTTCTGATCCGTAGTCAGACGCGTTATCCGTTGCGCCACAGGCCCGGTTGGTTCGTTAGGGCGCGCAAGGAAAGTAACTCATTTAGGGGTCAAAAGATAAAGGGATTCGAAATTTTTTGTATGTGTTTATATGTGTTTTTGTATAAATTATAGTTTATCCACCCCCCCCCCCCTTTACCCCGAAGAAAAGTTTCTGGCAATGTGTTCGGTGCTGAATGAAAAAAGGAAAATAAAATGTCACGTGACAATCTTGAAATGTAGTTGGAAAAAGAAATAGCGAAAAATATGTCCTGGTCCCATGATAAGCAAGCGCTTTGTTGCGTCTATTGCGAGTGCTGTGGGCGCCCCCATCCTTACCCAGCAGGCAACGCCCACTGGACGGGATAGATGACGTCAGAGGAGGTTGACCTGCCGAAGCTAGCAGAGTCACGTGATCCTACCTTCTTGTTTTATGATTTCTCAATTTGATGTCAATGTCACCTTATTGCGCACGGCTTAAAAGACGAACACTTGGGATGAAGGACTAGACGGACACAAGCGCAGCGATGTCAAGGCTTGAAGAACTCACAAATCATTCTGGTAAACACCCACGATGGCAGCGCCCCTGAAAAGAATATTAAGTTCTCCTATGCAAAGGCACCTGAACATCATCATAAAGGTGACTGCACCAGACGAGACCTGTGTAGGTAAATGTTCCATGGGGATACACGGCAACGTATTCTGGTAAATATCCCGGCCCTTCCGGAGAAGCACCATCGATAATTGAAGTGCGGGAGCTCAGAAGCTGACAACGCAGACTTATCGAAGATGTCCGATGTGGCAAATTTTTCAAAACGCGCCGCAATTACAAACCCCAACGTCGGCAAAACAGGCATTATACAAAAATTATGTCATGCAAGTGCGAGTGCATCGGCATATTCATTGAGAGATATACCTTTGTGCCCGGGTACCCACACCAAGCGAATAATACGTATAAGCCTTGGAAGTAGAGAATAAAATATTTCTAAAGAATTTGAAAATTTTGATGCAGTTAAGGAGGAACAGACAGATATGCTGTCTGTCAGAATGACTGCTTCTGCATTCCCAGGAATTGAGAACATCTGAACGTGGCGCCATCTCTTGGCGGCAGGAACGGCATCCTGCCATAAGTGAAGGAGAAATAGGCGAGAAAAATTATATCTCTTGCAGAAAACTAGTTATCAAAAACGACTCTGGGTTATATGTAGCAAAAGCCCACTGGTAGATTTTGGTAAAAATTGCAGTATTACACCACAAAGCGTGTGGCCGGCTTCCCAGGACAATTGAACACCACCCATAGAAACGCATGTGATAACATCAGTAAATAATAAGTACTCTGGCAAGCAACGCGGTTTGTAGTGCAACATTGCAACTTCACCACTGTTCTAATACGTCTCTGCTGTATGGAACCGAGATTCGTGTTTGATAAATAGCTTTTTTTTGTCATATATGAATATTTATATTGCCTATTTGCCATTCAGTTACGCAAGGCCACCGCTTTGACCGACGAGAGGTGGTGTTACATGCAGATGTCCCCAAATCCAGGTCATGTGATAATCATAGGGGTAATTTCCGTAAAGCTAAAATAATAGCAAGTAATTGCGCGTGATAAATTGGTGTGAAGTCGGGTAAACGAATTGAAATAAAAAAGACCAATCTAGAGACTCTTATCGACTATGGCACATTACTTGTTCAATGCTTTCTTTAACGCTGTTTCGGAGCCCTCCACATACGGCGTCTCTTATAATCATATGGTGGTTTTGTGACCTCAAACCCCACATATCAATCAATCAATCATCGACAATGTCAGCACAGCATTAATTAGTTTTTAAACTTATCAGGATTTCGCGGTGAAATCAGTTGATCGCGCACAAATTTCTCGAGAGATAGAAATTTGGGGACCCTGAAGCTCTGATTGATTGATTGATATATGGGGTTTAACGTCCCAAAACCACCATACGATTATGAGAGACGCCGTAGTGGAGGGCTCCGGAAATTTCGACCACCTGGGGTTCTTTAACGTGCACCCAAATCTGAGCACACGGGCCTACAACCTTTCCGCCTCCATCAAAAATGCAGCCGGAATTCGAACCCGCGACCTGCGGGTCAGCAGCCGAGTACCTTAGCCACTAGACCACCGCGGCGGGGCCCCTGAAGCTCTGCCTTTAGGAGTTGAACGCGATAGCGATGTCCTGTTCCTAGTGCGTACTTCAAGCACTTAAGTGCCCGAAACCTTTTCGAACTTGCTATGCACCCTCTACGCGGCCTTGAGGGAATATGCGCAGTAGTTCGTCGTTGATCCGCTTCGAACCACGAAGTCATTATGATAATCGCATGTTCAGACACCCGCTGGCAAAGGGCGCTTGTACCACGCATTATTACTGCAATATTTCACGCTGCATTGTGAATCATGCATGAAGGACGCGTGTGTTTGTAAAGTATATGAAATCTACTTTCACTCGATTTCCAAGCACAGGAAGTCATTTTCACTGGATTCAT